GATATTCTATTAAATTACTTAATTTAGTTGCTTTGTTGTATAAAGAAACAAGTGAACTAACTTAAAATGAAGTAGTGAGATATGGTTACAAATGTCAATTTAATATGAAAATGATTTTCATCCATAATGCGCTGCGATTGCTATATAAATTTGAGTTTAGCGCAGCAGATTATATTGAATCACGTGGACAGGTTCTTGGATTATCTTATCCAATGAATTTTGTCATTTAGTGACCATAATATAAAAATGAAAAAGAACTCTACTTTCTTTTATCATAATGGCAACTTTACCTAAGGCAAAGAATTATATCCTGTTTACTGATACGTTCGCGATTAATGATATGGATAAAGAAGGCAGAAAATTCGATCGTGGTATGTAATACACACCCATAAGTCACCCTGTTTATTACCTTAAATTCACTTCTAATTCGTTTACTCCTTTTCACCACCGATATTAAGTATCACGGTTCACTGGTAGAGGAGAGAATTTAGAAATGGAATTAACTATTGATATTAATATAGAATTATATCCATTGGATATAGGGGATAAAGTAATGTTAATGCTAACAACATCATTATCATTAGATACAGCAAATATAGCACAGAGTGAAGAAGCTATACTGCCACTCCCTATTATGACTCAAGGTGATCAACCCGAACGACCTTCTTGGAGAGAAAAAAATTCTATGGATAGAGATTTAAGTGATGATTATGAATATATTATGTACGGTAAAGTTTATAAATATGATGAAGAAAAAAGGAGCAAAGTGTAAGTATACATATGGTTTTTTGGGAGGGGGAAAGGAAGACGCGTAATTAAACTTTCTTTTTTATACATTTTAGAGCGGTTTATATATCTTTTGGAGGATTGCTAATGGCATTGGAAGGAGATTTTCGTCATGTGCAAAATATTCACGTTGGACAAAACGTTTATATGTTAATGAAACGTCAGTTCTAAAAAGATCAAGACTATTTTAAATAAATTTAAATCTGATATAGTTTAATGTTTTTTAATTTAACGTATTAAATATCTAAAACTTAATATTTAATTAAAGTCTTCTTGTCACAAATCTTTATTAATTAATTAAATACATTATTGATTCTAATCATGCTTAGATTTTTTTTTTGTTTTTTGATTGAACAATTAAAAAAAAAAAGAATTTGTAATTCGGAAATACAAGTCAAGGGTAAATTGATACACTTTCATGAAATAAAAAATAAATAATGAAATAAATAATGCTATAACTTGTATAATGCAACATATTAAGGAAATAAATAAATAAATATATATCTATTCATATCTAGCATGTCCAAATTTCTCTAAATAAATCTCCAACCTTTCCTCAAGTTTAGGAACATTATTTTGTTCTAAATCATTCCTTGGACCTTTGTCATTTTCCGAATAAGATCTTCTTATATGCTCAATAGGATAATAACCGACCAATCTATTAATGAAACCCCACGATCTATATTTACCATGACCAACGAATGGGAAATATACACTACCAATTAATACACCTAATAATGTAAAACAATTACTTAATATTGACCAAATCGTTGCTTTTGGTACATCTATTGTATAAACTACATCAAATGAATCTATATAATTAAAGATTGGGATTAGTAATTTAAAAAAAATTATAAAAATTATAAGTAAATGTAATTACAAATGCAAACCTGCACGAAAAGTGAATCTATTAATAGATCGACCAGGAGAAGAATCCGTGGGATCTCTATATTCATCAATAATATTATATTTAACATCGGTCCTTTTAACAATTTTGTTTACATCAAGACTTATGGTCCTTGTAAATTGTATAGCCCTGTTAGCCTCAGGTGACAATACAATAAACCTATTAAAGTCAAATGAAGAATCTTTTTGTAAAGGATCGAATATATTAACTAATAATGGTGCTTGCGCATTTTCTATATTTTCCGTAGTAAATTTCCTTTCGGTAATAAATTCCAAATCCGGTACATTTGAAGTTGTAGGATTATTTTTAATTATAGCTCTATCATCATTCGCGGGTGGACTTAATACCCAACAACGTGCTATTTGATCTCTAATAAGCCTTAATTCCGGGCATATGGCTTAAATATGTACCTTTGTTAACTGATACGTTATATAGTTTTATATCAAAATCATAGTCCACTGGTTTTGTTGTACAAAATGTTAGCGCCGGAGGAACTAGCTTATCCTCAGATCTTACTTCAATTATTTGTGTTATTGTGTTAAAATCTTCATAAGATTTAAATAAATTAAATGAAAATATTCCTATTAAGATGAAAATTAATAATGAATGTAATATACGGGCGAGAAACATTCGAATCATTTTTTTTTATAAAATACAAAATTAGAATGTAATATTATTTTTAACTATTTATCTTTATTTATATTTATATTTTTTTTTTTTTGTTTGGTTGCATAAATTTATATAAAGAGGTTTGTGAAACCGAATATTTATATCTTTTTCTATCGGAGTTATCTTATGGTCCTTGTAAATTGTATAGCCCTGTTAGCCTCAATTGACAATAAAATTAACCTATTAAAGTCAAATGAAGAATCTTTTTGTAAAGGACCGAATATATTAACTAATAATGGTGCTTGCGCATTTTCTATATTTTCCGTAGTAAATTTCCTTTCGGTAATAAATTCCAAATCCGGTACATTTGAAGTTGTAGGATTATTTTTAATTATAGCTCTATCATCATTCGCGGGTGGACTTAATACCCAACAACGTGCTATTTGATCTCTAATAAGCCTTAATTCCGGGCATATGGCTTAAATATGTACCTTTGTTAACTGATACGTTATATAGTTTTATATCAAAATCATAGTCCACTGGTTTTGTTGTACAAAATGTTAGCGCCGGAGGAACTAGCTTATCCTCAGATCTTACTTCAATTCTTTGTGTTATTGTGAAAATCTTCATAAGATTTAAATAAATTAAATGAAAATATTCCTGATGAAAATTAATAATGAATGTAATATACGGGCGAGAAACTTTCGAATCATTTTTTTTTATAAAATACAAAAATTAGAATGTAATATTATTTTTAACTATTTATCTTTATTTATATTTATATTTTTTTTTTTTTTGTTTGGTTGCATAAATTTAAATTGTGAAACCGAATATTTATATCTTTTTCTATCGGAGTTATGCAGAATATTCCGATTTTACACAAATCAAATTAATTATGTTATGAGAAATAGTTCTCTATTTAGCTTTTGGCTTTGAGGTTTTCTTATCCTTTTCTCCTTTTTTCTTTGAAGTACCGTCCGATGACGAATCACTACCTGAATAGTTTTCATCGTACTCTTCTGCAACATCACTATCTTCACTACTGGCAATGAAATCTTCATCCACTATTAATGGAAGAATAGTTGTTACCAAAAAATTTAATAAATCAATATAATTACTAAGAATAACTCACTTTCTGAATCTTCGTCTTCCGGATCAACCGATTCACTCTTGCGTCGTTTAGCAGTAGGCATAACTTCATCATCATCATCATCAAGCTCTTTCATAAACTCAGAATATGATAACGCAGTCTTAAAATCATAATAATTAATTAAAATCAGTCATTTTTTTTTTAAATAAAAATAAAAATAAAAAATATCGAATTTAAAACCATTACATACTTCGTCCGCTGTATCCTTGATTGTTTTTATATTTTTAGATCTCAAATATACTTCTAAATCTTCATATTCTTCTCTAATAGGCAAATGTTAAGTAATGATTAATTTTGTATATTATCGTAAGCATAAATAATGATATCATTTATAGAAATACCGATTAAGACTAGAGAATCCAAATTCTACTCCACTTTTCATATTGAATTTCATATCAAACGTTCTGGGTCCTCCTAGATCAGACTTTTTTGTTAGATTCGCAGATACTCTAAATTATAATGCAAAAGATTGTCAAAAGCTATCTCACAAGTTCACATAACTTTCCTTAATTATGGTTAATGTCAAAATATTTTCTATATAAATAAATAAAATCATACCTAGAGAACGTAACGCTCATAATTTCCGAAAAGGGGAGATATGTCGGGGGTTTTGGAACAAATAGGAAGCACTTTTCAAGTGGATAAAGGTAACCTTCATTCGCTTTTAGAGAAGCTTTTACGGCCACTTCGTCATGTTTACTGTAAAAGGAGGTTATACATTATGTTAATAAAGTTAATATATAAATTTTTTTTTTTAAAAAACAAAGGAAAAAAATGAAACAAACTTTCTGTATGTTGAGGGTCTGTTTATCTTCTTTTTGGTGAGTCCTTGAAAAACTAAACTTACGGCTTCATGAATAGGACATTCATATCTGGGTAATAATCTTTCTCCATAATCTCGTTTTAAATCATCCCTATATTATAAAAAAAAATTTTTTAGTTTGAATTCTTCACAAGATAAAAATCCGTGAATAATAATAACAAACAATTACTCATCAATATTCAAGGCTAAATCAATTTCATCATCTTGCTTAAACTGCAAAACTAGAAAATGGTAAAGTGTTTGACCCTGTCTCAATGGTGGATCAAGTCCAATCTGAAGAAGATGAAAATATATTTAGACAAAATCTCATTTAAAGATATTTAAGGGGAAAAAAAACCTACGACAAATAACTCGTGGACTTCATCTAGTTTTGGCAATAAAAACAAGTTTACAACACTTTTCATTTGTATTTTATAATCATATGTTTTTCCCCGTAATCGGAAAAAAGTTGGAAACACTTCAATATCGTATCGACCACTTTATTATTTAATAATAAATAGTTAGTATATCAGATTATAGAATATAGTGATATTAAATAATAATCACTTACCGAGGTGTAAGAAGAAGAATATCTTGGAATAACGCAAGTCCTTCTCCAGAAGCTTGCCCAAGGTCTGCTTTATCCTTGACAGTTTCATAGAATAGCTATAAAAGTTGAATTCATATTTTAGTTATCGAAACGGCACAAAGATATTAATCGTTAAATGATCCTTTTCAAATACTAACAGAAGCAGCACTCATTTCCTCTCCATCCTCAAGACCTTCTTCTTCTTCTTCTTCTTCTCCTTCTCCTTCTCCTTCTCCTTCTTTTTTACCTTCTTCTTTTTCGTTATCATCCTTGATAATAGTAGTTCCAGGTATATAAAATCTCATTTCTACTAATTCATGCATTGGAGCTTTTTTACTTTTACCCTGTGGCTCCCCTGTCTGATCTGGTTGCATGAATTCAACATTGACTTCATTTCTATTAGCAAGATTACTGTTTGCAACTTGAATTAAAGGAATCTCAAATGCTGTTTTACTACCAATGTTAAAAAGAAGCTGTGATCCTGTTTAAAGTAAAATAATTTTTATTAAATAATGACAAACGCCATAACTTTTAATGAATATTTTTCAAAATTACCTTGAAATTCGGTTTTACCCCAATTCCAACCTTTAACACTGAGTTCTTTTGTCTCAAGCGGTAATTTATAATTAGCTCGAACAAGTTCTTTCACGGCATCAAACATCTACATGGAATAATCAAATAAATACCGGTTATAAAAAATGATCAGAACTAAGAAATTTACATACATCTTTATTAAACCCATCAAATCTGGCAGCATTACCATTTTTTAATGCAATGCGTAGCTGATAATTTCGAGCGACACGCATCCATTGCATTTTTTTGAACTCTTCTGCAGAAATCGTTACGATGTTTTCTGCATCAGAAGTCTTCCATCCAAGCCCACTTGGAGCAAGCTTAAGAATGCCTGGAGTATTAGAAAGACCATAGTATATATTTTCAAATTGCTTAGACCTCGGATCCATTATGTTTTACAACTTTTTTCAGAGGGTAAACTAGTGTGATCTAAAAAAGAATCGAGAAAAAGCGCGTATTTATTTGTACCATAATAGGCAAACTTATTGGATGTTCGGAATTCTGCGGAAAAACTTATGATTGAATTACAGATGCGCAGCAAATTAAAACATTTTATTAAAGCACAGGCCCATTAAAGGTAATTGAATTAATTTTCAATAAAATTCAAATATAATTTTTTTTTTTTTTTTACAAAGTAGCAAGGCTACATTCAAAAATTTAAATACAATATTTAACTCCAATTCTTGTTTAAAGCATATAATTATTTTTTTGTTCTGATGATAATGATTCTTTATAATTATTACAAATAATGCTCATTCTGTGATTGAATATCTACCGTTTTTTAGGTGGCTTCGGTTTAACATCTTCATCTTTCACGGCGTGCAAGTAAACGGCAGTCCTTTGTGGTTGTGATATAAGGCCCTAAATTCGATTTGATTATATGTGGCATGAATATGTTAATGTTTTTTTATATAAGATTATGATGATTCAACTTACTTTATTCCAATCGTAACTTAACGCGTAAGCAAATATAGAACCGTTACGGTTGAAAGTAGTAGAAGTAATGGGACCTCCAATAGAACTGAATCCTTTAAGACGTTGTTTAGAATCTTTATCCCAGAAATTAAAAGTACCATCACTTCCCGCAGTTGAAAATGTGCCATATATAGGGTGAAAAGAAATAGCGTTGACCGCATGTACATGATTTTGTTCTCGATGACATTTAAAAGAAAAGCTAGACCTGAAATTTTTTTAAGACAATATTAATTAGGTCAGTCAACTATTGTTAAATAATTATATTTTTATATAAATTATTCGGCTTACTGGCTGTCTTTTTCTTCAAAATATTGTATCCCAACACGTCCTTCAATACTTCCTATAGCATATCCAGTGCGATTTAAGAAGGTTGAAATACATCGAGTTTGCCATTTCAAGGGACTTACAATGCTCTTTATCAAAAAATTAGAAATAAAATATATTAATAAATCATTAAAGAATGATAAAAGAAAATCAATTACAAAAAAATTTGAAATAAAAATGGTTTACCAATTATCATACCTTGACTGGGGTACTTGGATTTTTACTAAGATCAAACATTAGGACATGCCTTTCAGCGCATCCTACAACTAATACAGGATAGGTAAAGTCTAATGCATAGCATCGCTCCGGAAGATTAACAGTAAGTACAGGCGTTGAAGAGCGCATGTCCCAATACTATTTTATTTTATATAAATATATATGGTAAATTTTTTAACAATAATGACCAAAACAAAAGACAAATTTTAAATTTCTAACCTTAAGTGTCTTATCCCAACTTCCAGTTAACACAAGATTATGATTTTCGATATATTTAATGCATTTAATAGGCTGATCATGTATAGCTATTTGGGCTACTTGCTGAGAAGTAATATCAAAACACCTTCCCGCATTATCTGCACCACCTGAAATAACCTTGGTTCCATCCTATTATAACAAAAACATAATCAACAGATCCAACATTTCAGATTGTACCCATTTTAAATGTTTCTCAAAAATTTAATTTTTTCCAAAAGATCGGTATTCACACGCGAAACAAAAAGGATTACATACTTTACTCCATGCGCAGCATAATGCGGGTTTCTCATGATTATAAAGAGCTTTGCCAACGGCTGCTCCAGTAGCTTGATTGGCTTCATAGATCCTAACCTATTAAATATCAATTTAATAACTTTATAAAAATAATATATTATTAAATCTAATAATTTACATAGTTTTATAAATCGCTTACAGAAGTATCCCACGAAGATACCGCAAAAAAATCCGCTACCGGTGAAAATGAAACTTCTGAAACCGAATCACTTGGACCGTGTGGAACCTTTTAAAATGTGAAAGTATTTTTTTAAATCATACTAAAATAATTTGGTCAGATATCATGACAGAATGATAAGTACTTCATAGTCCTTGGGCGCTTCATTTGTAGTGCCTGTATTTGGTCTACTACCATATGTTGTCATTTTGGGAATATCGATTCAAAATTCAAAAAATTAATGTAAATTGAACCATCTTCCCTTTCAAGAAAATGAACATAATCAATGCCGATCATTTTATCATAATCCTATAATGCTGGCAGAAGGCGATCGGCATATAAAGCTTTAGATTAGGGGATTAGGGATCCGAAGATTTCGCATATTATGATCTTAAAAATTATGTAGATAGGTTTTTTTATAAAATATTTTATTTTATATCATTTATTATTGAAAATAATTCTAATTGTCTTCTAAATATATAATACAAATAAAAACAAATGATTTTTTACTATTATAATTATTACCTAGCAGTTTTACCAAAGGGACGTACAGTGGCGATCATAAATTATGCAACAAAAAAATAATTTTCATTAAAACGAAATATTTCTTGTAATTACGGAAATA